ACGCAAACACGAGTCTAACCTTTATGTCTCTCACATAAAAACAACACATGCTATATAGTCAAAACTGTGAACATATGATCGTGACGAGTGACCAACACAACAACAAAAAATTTTGAAATTAGAGTGTACAGAGCGCGCGAAATTCAAAAAGTCACCTTACTTTTTGATCACACCTCGTATTTCTGAAAGGTGTCAGATTTATTTCAGTTACTTATTAGCAAACATTTAGAAATGTTTCAGACATATTTCGGTATTCTTTTATAGCACTTTCAGAAAGATTTCAAGTACAAGAATCGCGGACATTTTGATATTGCAAAGACATCTCAGAGATTTTGCAGAAACATTTTGCAATGTTTCTGAGACATTTCAATTGCACACGTGATATATTTCTGAAATATTTCTGAAAAGATTCTGTGCTGTATGGGTGACGATGATGATGATGATGACAATGATGATGATGACGATGATGATGATGATGATGATGATGATGATGATGATGATGATGATGATGATGACGATGATGATGATGACGATGATGACGATGAAAATAATTACTATTATTAATATTGCTGTATAATACATATATATATATATATTTGCATTAAAAATTTATTTAACTAGGACTTACAAGGACGTATCATTCGATTGATGTTGATACAATTAAAATGGACAGTCTGCTGAAAGAGTTGGAGGGTCTAAAAATCATGATATTTCGAGGATAATTCCTCATGGACACCATGCGTGGATTTGATTCGAAGGAGTTTTTTACCACAAAGAACAATTGGAACGGAGCGTCCGTGTGAGAAGATAGACTTTAGAAAGTATAGGCTTGTTGTAAAGAGAAACCTGCGTAATATCATGTTTACGCTACAACATATTTCTAGCAGTTCCAGAGAGAAGCACGTCCAGCTGAGCAATGTCACTAGGATGGTTAGAACATTTGGTAGAATCTGTTATTGCTCATTGGAGAACATAACAAAAAGAATATTTGGAATATAGTTGAGTGCGTTTCTATAATATTTCCAAAGAATTACCTGCTAATTTCTGGTACTTGTACGCCTGTTGAAGCATCTCACAATTTTTGTCAGAGAATGTGAATTTGTACAACTTGATTTTTTAGGCTATTTTCATGAACTTTTTCTGAAAAATTCGTGAAGTCTATTCAAATTAGGGTTTCTTTTACATATTGATACATATTTCAAATATCTTACAGAATTTTTTTATTGTAATATTCCAAGAAATAAGCTCTATATAACAGTTTCATGAAAAAAATCAGGTGTTGCATGGTGATCATGATTGCGGCTGTTCTGCTTATTTCATGCTTATTTCTTGGAATATTACAATAAAAAAATTCTGAAAGATACCTGAAATATGTACTACATGGACTGAAAAGTCCCGGGATTTTTAATGAAAACAAGCGTTTTTGGGCAAAGTTATATTTATTCCTCAACATAGTTGCCTTCGAGGGCGATACACTTGGTATAGCGATTTTCCAACATTTCGATGCCCTTTCTGTAGTACGAAACGTCCAAGCCTTCGAAATATGCCTCGGTTTCCGCGATGACTTCCTCATTCGATCTTAATCTCTTTCCCTGGAGCCACCGCTTGAGGTTTGGGAACAGATAATAGTCGCTGG